ACGTTACAATGATAACTAGCAGATGTCCTTGAATGTACTCTGCTATAAGCCACTGTATGAAAAAAATCTGCTGGAATCAATTAAATGGTTTCAGTGAAGGTGTATAGGATGACTGGAAATAAGCAAAAAATACAATCGCTGACTTCGAGATGGTGAATGGATAGCAATCACCGTGAAAAATACATGAATCGCAACAGTGAGTGCAACACCTGAAGACACATTTCTCTTCCAAGCCTTAAAATTAAATAAGGCATACAAGTACCTGCTCTACCATCTGCACTTCAGGTATGTAAAACTGAACCATATTTTCGATGCCATTCTTTAAGGTTACCGTGGAGCTTGGACAGCCGGTACACGATCCCTGTAATCTGAGCTTCAAAACACCATTTTTGTAACTCTGAAACAATCTGTGGTCAAGAAAGTAATAATCAATTTTTTCAATGCGTTAATACGCTATGTTAATGATAAAAATCGCCCCTCTATGGATTACACACTCAGAATTGCTCAACCAGCGGAAACCAGACTTGTAATCTAAAAATCATCGGTTCAAAAAGTGGGGTCAAGTCAGTCAACTTTCACTCCTTTGGGTAGACAACTGAATAATAGCGATCAAGTGGACATGCATCTGTAGACACTATCTTAAAAATAAACAAGGAAAATGCTATAAAAACAAAAATTAGAGCCGCAATAAAAATTCCCTGAAACAAAAGTACCACAAAAAACGCCGGTCCAACATATAATTCCGTTTCAAAGCGGAAAGAAAAACGGTTGTCCACTTGCAGTACCAAAAATTCTGGAGCAATGCGAATCACTCGAGCAAGCATGGCAAAAAAAGCGATAGCACAAACCGAGCAAATCGTTTTAAATTAGGATGAACTGTTCCATATTTTAACACTTTCTCTTTTGATACCGGCCTGAAGCAGTGTAATGGAACCGTACCCTTGTTTCTAGCTGTCTAGGAGTCCATTTAAGCAATGGACCGGCTCCAATGTATTTGAGCACTTGCAGTGTACGGATGCAGAGCCACATCACTAGGCAGGGCCGAACAAAGGCCCAGACAACTGCAGATATGGCACAATTCGTAGGCATATTTATGCATGAAAATAAACCTGATTGTCTGTTCCACATTTTATGTTACTATTCTATCAACAAAAAAAAAACAGGGCTTAAATCTGTAGACTATTACAATGAATCAAGAGATATAAGACGAATCAAGCGATTTGCTGCTCAGACCGCATTGCCTTGCCTCTCGGCATGAACCACAAGAGAACACAATGATGACCTTGTCGTTACCCGTTTCGAGGCTGGTTGCACCAAAACAACGTGGAATAATTCGTTGTTCAGCGGCTAAGATGGTTAAAACAAACATGACCACGACAACAGTGGAGTCCAAAACCGACCTCTTTGCTGCTGTGCCACTGCAATATCACTGGAGGAATTAGATCATTCTTGCACCAACTCAGGGATCGTCAAACAAGTTTCACTTCTAGCTGAAATGAAACCGAGCAAGTGCAAAAGAAGTAACATCTTTGTTTTTTTTAATTTCTACATCCTGACAGGAGAGAACAGACGGAAAAAAACATAAAGTTTCCAGAAAACGAATACGAAATGCACGTTTCGATGTGTCTCCTTTGGAAATCCGAAAATGTTTCTTCTTCTAAACGGGTATACTCGATAAAGCATGAATGGTTTTGTCATCCACTTGTGAAGACCGTCTCAGCTGTTGAAAAGCTGTTACGATTAATTAATTACCAGCGATGAAGAGAAACGAATCGCCTGTCTTTCACTTAAGCATGCAACCGATCGTTTTCATCACTGCTCATTTTCCTCGGTGGACGACATGTTCAATTCTGAACGAAGAAATCTTTTCAACAGCACAAGTGGTCATATGGTGAAGTTAGTCATAGAGGCATTCGACGGAATACCTTAATTATGAAAGCAATGGAGACAAGACGATGACCAAATTATGGATTGGACACGAAGGAGAAACATAGATTAACGGATGATAAACCATTCTCCAATGAGGTAACAGTAACCACCGTTACTACTGATCATCTCATGTTCTATAAGGTAAATTAAATTACGAACAATACTTTGACCAACAGCCACAACAGTGATTCAGTGTATGCATAAATATATAATTACGACAATAACATCATGTACATGACACATGCTATTAATTATCCTGAGTACAGAATATGACGACTTCTGAATTAGACTGTAGGGAGGACTAGAACCGAATGTTGAAGTAAGAAAAAAGTTACTGTAGAAATAACATACCTAAATATAATTTTAGTATTTTAAAGAAAATGTTTTTAACACGCATTAAATTACCGAAAAAGTCACATCGCCTCCATCTTCTTGAATGGTAGGTCGAATCCTCGTTTCCAAGAGTTCTTTTATCATTTCAACAGTTTCTCTATCGGCTTCGTCTAAACAATGAATATATGTAACATACCGTATTGTAATATGCATCAAGCTAGTCACCCGATAACTCTAACTCATGAAAACAAATTTACATATGCGGGTAATTAGAAGTATTGGCGAATAAACCTAAAACTTTCTCTGTGCGAAAAGCAAATTCTAGTGACACATTCGGAACAACTCAACAACAGAAAGAACAGGGATTCAAATCTCACCAAGGGCATAACATGTCTTCCAACCTTTCGAAGAAGCCAAATCAGAATCACTACATAAGAAGCAAACAGGAGATTACCCACCATAATCGCAAAACACATAAAGAGATCGCTTTCGAAAAGAATGCATTCTCGGTCGAGAGCAGCAGGATAAACTCCATGAATGAAAGGTGGCATAAACGATTCAAAGTTTAACTTCCTTCGGAAGGCTGATGAACACTTTCTTTTACCGGAATTTACTACCTAAAGACAAATATGAATAATTATTTTGATTCCTGTAGCACAAATCAGACTCCGTATTACATCAAATGTAATATTTCGTGGCTCAATATTTATATTTGCAAACTTGGTAGGTGGGCATCCATTTGCGAAACGAATTTAAAGTTTCCAAACGCCGGGATATCGATTCTCATTACAGTGTATTGTCTTAGGTAGCTGGGGAAGGGGGTATTAGTTTGTTTCCTGTTTCGATAATAATTATTCTCATTTACCGATCCTTAGTTTAAAGCAACAATTTACAAACATGATATAATTTATATTAGTCCAGGACGCGTTTCAGCGATACCCACGATCGTCTTTATCACAGTTACATAAGAATAAAGAACAAGATTAAGAAGTGAGTTCTGAGTGACAAGAGCGTTTGTTTCATTACTTCTTCCGGACAAGCTGGCCGATGACATTCCAGCTGACACTCAAACTACGAAAGCTCGAACATTCAATGATATGCCTATGATATGCCAACATATGCAACGATTCTTTAATTAATAGGCGATGTTAGTTCTTCCCTTATTAACGACATTAGCTGGATTAAAGGAATGGTTCAAGTAGAAAGCATGATTAAACTAACCCATTCGTCAGAACTGCAAGATGTTCCACAAAACTTTAATTCATTCTTCTTATACTCTTCCTGATGTAGACCTTGTTATAGATGTTGTTTCAATTCAATTTATCAACGACGTTCATCTCCTTCATTCGCAAAGTTTCCGGTATATCTGAGATTCCAATCAATCGTCCATTTTGTAATAAATTTTAAAACCATGATTATAATGATACTGTGATTTTATTAAAAAGTTAAGGAATAAAGAAGGTGACTAAACTTCCGCTGTTCTTAACGTTTGGCAGATTTGCAAAGTTAAGAATGGGCTTCAATGTCGTCTTACATTTTTACTGTTGCCGTTTTTGCATAATTGTTTTCACATGTTTAATTTCTGACTGCTAGGCAGAAAAAGTTACCGGATTCAACAATCCAAGGTGATTCGCAAACAACAATAAAAAGGACATCCCTTAACTTTCTGTTCATACACTACTGTTCTGGAGACTCACTGACTGCTCTTGACAATGACGAACACTATAAAATGGGCCATTTCTGAATGCTGAGTACCTACTTGTCCGCGTACTTTCGAAATAAACCTTTCCGCTACCGAAACGCATAACTACTGATTTTGTGTATCTTATGGATAGAATGTTCCACCAATGCAGAATACATATCTTCTCTGCCAAATGCGTCCTTCTGAATTCAGAAGAGTTCTGGTACGGAACTTTAGAGGCCAACCAGCTGCCGCTGAGCTTATTAAGAATATAACCTTATGGCGCTTGATCTCCTACATAGTGCACCTTAAAATGCTCTTTTCATAAACGAACAAAACTGTTTAGTTAATAGTAGCAATGTAAGCTGTCTACAATATTCTCTGGCAATGGTCATAAGTGTTGGGCAATGACCAAAAACCAATACGTCCGATACAAGTGGAAACAATGAGAGCCTTCTACACAATAGTCAAAAATACCCCAGCCTGCGAGCCGTCTGCTCTTCAAATCAAAGGATCAGTGATGGCTTAGACTCGAAGTTAGCATGTGAGAAAAAACACGCACAAGGAAGAAGATATTCGCCTAGCCAAAAGACAACGTCAGATGAGTCAGATTTACTAGTCTCCTGGAAATGTCGCAAAAGGCGATCCATATGATCGGCTATGATGACTGAAGAAAAAGGGGAACCGTGGCCCAAACCTCATAACGCAGTTGCCACGGTAACAAGAAAGAAACAACAGATTGTAAAAATGAATCAGTGCACAGAAACTGTAGAGTTCAGTCAGTACTGAAGTTTATGAACAAACGTCTCACAGACCATCTTCCGGGTAATAGCCGTGGTTATTCCTCCCTTCCGGCAGGTTTTCCGTAATCGAGCTTAAATAGCGCGATCAGCAATCATCAGTATGTCCCTCATGAAAGTCTTTTAATACAGAATAAAATGTTGCCAGCCATTTATCACTTCGATATCACCACTCCATTGTGCTGCCAAAAAAATTCCTTTTCAACTACTGATTGTCCCTACCAAGAGATGCTTTACACCTCACTTTTTGTAACGTAATGGAGGATGCAGATAATGCCTTACCACACAACTCAACATGTCATCTCTCCATTCTTATCAGATTTACCACGCTTACTAGAGACTGCTACTCATGCCTTATTTAGGACATCATTTATACCATACGAAAGACGTGATTTCTGTTTAACACGACGGTAAAAGAAAATAAGCTCACCAAGTGGCTTGTCTCAGAAACATCCGATGTACGACAATTACAAACTGGGTTCCGCTAGACAAAGACATCTACTCGGTCGTCCAGCAAAACGCTGAAACGACCCAAAGGCCAAATTACATGGCCAGCAGTGGACCAGAGAGTAGAGAATACTAGAGGAATGCATGGAGTGCCCAAAACGAGCATAAATGATGGCCAACAACTTATTAATTTGTTCCTTACCAAACGATGCTTCCTGAACGGCGGCATCTTGCGAAGCGTGCTGTTGTTCATCGCGCTGCGGTGCTTCAACGATCACCTCAGCACCTGACGAAAAGAAATCCATCATCGTGGCAAAAATCTTCGGTTTCAGTACCTTCCAGTCCAATAATTCGTCCTTCTACTTGGCAGAAACATTTTTACATATTAACTGCTTCGCAGAAAAACTGGAACTCCAAAAAAATACTTCTAAACAGAACTTAAGCGGCGATGGCAAATATTTAAAAAATAAAGATATAGAACAAAGGTCGACTAAGAATCGAAGGTGCTCCTTGTTAATCCGCGTCAAAGAAATCATGACAGATCATTTACATGTGACCTAACCACTCCATGGTCAAAACTATCATGCCTTAGACCTGAAGTTTACCCTTCGGCCTGTCCGGCACAAGAGACACTACCCAAACAGAGATCGTACGCTTAAGACCTAAACTTTTTCAGAGTCAATGATGCAAGGAAAAGCAACTGCCGAAATACCTTTAGCATCCACATTAATAACTACAATCAGCGTGGCGCTTGCGTCGCAGATGAGTTATGCCCCTATCAGCACTCCCAAGATATATGATATGATATTTGTGGGTAGGGAAAACTGTATCAGAAATGCTGACAACGATGCTGCAAACCAGCTGAGTCGATTTACAGTCACAGAGGAGACTTCTGTAACTCAACCCCACTCTACCCTCTTCCAGCCCCGCAACATATGCAGTGTATCAATCCGTAACCTCTATTGGTCCTCGAAATTTGTCGTCATGATATTCATAATAAATTTTCTAGTGTGATTTTCGAAAGGTAGCAAAGATGAAACTTCTGCCAATTTTCTTCAAAAAGAGTCTGAATCAAATCTGCTTCAGAATAAAACATGGAAAAACGAAGAGTAGAAGAATATGTACATGTAGAAAGAAGAGAATGATCAAGGAGATACCTGGAATAGGCAACACGCCTGAATTTATAAGATATGCTTGAAAATACCATTTCCTAGGAAAATATGAAAAATGAATCGTCATCTTTCACTCAGAAAAATGGGACTATCATACCTTCTATATGGTTAAGATAGACGGTGAGTATTAATCATTTGGTCTACACTTGAAATTAATGCATCCTTCCTTAGGAGATAAGCTTTCCATAAATCATAAAGAACATCGCCAACGCTGCTAGGAAAACCTTATTAGCGGTAGAGATACAGTAAAGACCCATGAATATGTACTCGATCGTACTTCGTCCAGCAGTACAGCTATACTGCAGTTCTCAACGATTATAACGTAAAGGTGTAGTGACTGAAGGCAACGGAAACACAAAGGAAAACATAGAACAAGAACAAGGTGGATCATAAAAATGAAACGAACTTGTACCTTCGTGATCGTCACGAACTCTTCACCAAAAAACACCCTTTGTACTCCGTTGATGTGCAGCAATGACCTTAAAAATACTGAAATGTGTAAGAAAACCTGTGATACAAAACGCCGTCAACGAACATACCTTGCCAGCGGAGAATTATCCGCACCCGTGGCTTGTGAAAACTCAGCCGTTCCATTCGGGAGTACTCTGATCCCCGGTACAAACTTTAGGCTAAGAGGGTTCGGCGTATCATAAACTTGAATGAAGAGCGATCGTGCTAAAATGACAACGCTGAAACAAAGCAAAACGAACTAAATCACAATTCAACATCTTTGGTACATTTTCAGTCATCGCGCAAACAAAGCAGTCTACTACAGGAGACAGGAAACGTACGGCAAACCATTGCTTCTAGAGCAGATGTTAAAGAAATCACGGTTCATAGTGATGATTGAGGGCTCAACTTTTTTACAACGCGATTATTGAGATAAAAATACTATACCTGAGCAGGTGGAATACGCATTTTCTTAAAAATAAGGTGGGTGAATTTTATGCATATCGTTAGTGCCATTCGCGGCGGTTGGAAAGTTTAGAGCAGTATGGCGAACTTTCGGCAGATAAATAGTTTCTTGACGACAGGTACGACGACAGTCATCCGAATTACGTAGGATTTGTCGCTGCTGACACTGCCGCGGAGATGGAGGATTTATACCTCCATTGTGTAAATGTTCAGCCAAGTTCCCTCACTGCTGCTGCCGGCGCGGGATCCAATCTGAATGGTGTGCCACAGAAATCTCTACAGAGCCTCGATTTGACAGATAGACAAACTCTGGCTCCATCAACGACTAATTAAAACCGGAAAATTCTTTGCATTCGAGCGCAATTTCTCATTACATGAATTGAAACACTAAACGAACTGACTCTTCATCACAGCGCCGGAGATTTTTCAAGAGAGAAATCTACGTTAGAGTGCCGAATAACAAAATACTGTAGTGTCAGAACCGCTTAATAGCAGAATGAAATGCTCATTTATACTGAACGATGCACGCAGCTACGAAAACCGCGAATGACAGTGGCTAACGTAGCCTTACCTATGTTTAGACTTTCGTCAAAAGTGCATTCATAAAAGCAAGTGCGCACTGAGGATCCGGTAAAACGATAGACTATTCATTAGCGAGGAATGAAGGAATATAAAATCAAAAATATCCGACTTCGCTGGAAACTATCGAAGAGCGGGACTGTCAGTTGGTGAATCCAGGTTTGGGATAGAATACCTCTAGCGGCTTATGACTGCAAAATAGAAATTTGTCGCTCACACTTCCATGACACAGGTTGACGGGAATAGCCAACCGAATGTAACGCTATTGATAACTCAACGCAACGCATGCTTCATCTTGAAGTCACCTAATATCTGTTTGCTCCTATAAATCTGGTTTTGCTACAGGTAGCAGGTATAATTGAGATATTCGTCCACAGGAACACTATTATTTAAAGCGTTTAAGTAGGAACGAATCATCTAGAGTAATCAAGAAAACACGGCTTGGCATAAGTCCATTAGAGGTTGAATGTTGGCAGCTAACCCACGCAGCAGCATAGTGTAAATAATTTAAACGGATCATACTTGCACAATAGAAATTCATCTAAAAATACTTCCTAGACATCAGTCGATGTGAAGAATTACAACAATCAACTTTCTCCAGGTGACTGAACACTTACAACGATTTTTGAGCGAACTGCTATTTCTTCTCTGTGTACCTCTGCCTTAATTATGTAACAAGAAACATTGGGAAAGCAGTTCATAAAGGTGCAGGGGGATCTAACGTGTGCATTATACGCATAACAGTAGCGAAAGTCAACTTTCAATGGGTAATGTCGAGTGCAATTAAGAAATATCGCACATCATGCACCATATTCACACTTCATAAATGCTCAGAGGTATCTACTGGTCAAAGTTGCGCAGCAATTTTCGGAAACATTTCGATTTACATTATATTTATCAAGGACCAATCAAGTTTTTTTCTTACAAAATGGACCTGACTTTACAGAAAGTAGGTACGCAGGCTACTAAGACGTCTGTTATTAAATCGACAGATATGTACGACGAATGACGTCATACACCTGCTGATCAAAATGTTCCCGAGGTGGGTACTGAAATCCTGCAAGACGCAGTCATCTTTTACACGCCTAGCAACCAACATGACAAAGCTTTGGAATAACATAACATGTGAATACTGATGTGTATCTTATTGTACCAGAAACCTGCGGTGCATTCATGGTGCTGTCTGACTGATCAGCCCAAAACTTGCGCGACTTGTCGCCAAATTGTGCTAAGCGACTTTGGCGGTGTATAGCTATACAGAATTTAGCAGTTAGAATTACGCATTTAGAATTGTCCATCCAGAAAAATAATTTAATTGGATTTCGCCCTGTGCTGACTGCCACAACAAAAACCCAGCTCAGTCAGGTTGGTCCAAGCGAAATGCAATACAAAGAAGGGCTCGCGTTAAGAACATGAAGAACGCACCTCTCGTCCATTTTGGTATAACCACACCGGAACACGACGCTGTCACCAGTGTTCACAAATCCATGGATTGCTGCTCGCATCTCAGCTGGCTGCAACGAAGCAAATGGGTGAATTCCTTGCGTAACTCGCAATTAAGAGAAACTGTTTCATTCTTTTGCGATTCGAACCGGGAATCTCCAGTTTTAAACTGACCTCTACTTACAACAGGAAAAAACTGCAAAGTAACTGCTACAGAATACCACGAAAGATATATAAGGCAAGTGGATCCATGAGTGCACAACTAAATAATTCACAGCACAGTTCTAACTGAAGAGATGATGAAGTTCTCGTACGACGGAACAGGGAGAGTAGAAGTCTGTTAAATCTTACGAAATCAATTATATTTAAGCATTCAGAAAGAATTCAGTGATTCCATTAAGTAAAGAACGTGGTGAACATGATGAACAACGCTCGGTTCTAGAAAAGTAAGATCTGTATAGCGAGAAACCGTTCCACTTAATGATATGTTATCCACATCACATGGCAGAATAAACGCAGCAAAGCATAATGTTTATGACTCATATTCAAATTCTAATCGGTCGTTAATGCAGATGACGAAAGCGGAGTACTTAAATTGATCGACTTTTTCCTAAATCGCTTCGCCTTCTTGTTGCCCTAGCGGAATCACTGCGTCGAATGGGTTATACAGAGAGTAAAGGACGACCGGTTTCCCCAAGTTGCATGAGGAAACTGTTAGCGACAGAGTTCGCTTTCGAATTATTCATCTGAACACCATCATCTGCGCATAGGAGGTAAGTGAAACATTAATGATATACCTTAAACCGTTCGTACGTTTTTCTGTTACCATCAATTTTGCTGGTATCAACCGCTACGAAGCAAAGTTATAGTAACCTTAATTAGCAATGACCAAATTACCACAGCTTAAACAGATATGCTCAGACAGGTCGCGTTGAACCTTAACAGCAAAAACATTTGTTTCAAGCACATTCTCCAGAACGGAAACGATGCAGGGCATATTTCATAAGAGGTTAAGATTTTCGCAACGTCAAATGCAACTCTAAAGTCGATGAAAATGGCAAATTAAAAATATATTGCATAATGACACCATTAACAAAGAAAAAACCGCAGCACGAACGGCAAATTTGCATGTAGAAGAAAACAGTTCCTGCTTTCCATCGCCACGTAGTATTTTCTTTTCTATTTAAAGCAGCGCCGCCATTTGCATATTTTTTTAATTTTGAGACCAAATTCTCTGGACCAGAAAAATGTGGAGTCAAAAAGAATCAGATCATATGTCCCTGCAGCACTGACACAGAGCGGTGACGATGCACGTAAAAAATATTAACTGATAAGACTGCAGACATCCGGACAAAACCTCGTACGTCATTATACTTTAAAAGTAAACCGTTTCTTGTTTGACATTTAATTTTAATGCTATTTATCATTTTCCTCAAATCATAAAATTCCTGCCATCATTTAATGTTTAATTTTGAATACTAACCTTGAAGCGTTGAATTTGCTGCGCTTCGCAAAATACGTAGCTTTGAAAAGTAGAAACCGGCGGCGTTCATAAAATATGGACGGAGTGACCAGAACTTAAAAATCTGAACAATTATGTTTCTGTCAATCTAAACTAGACGAACTCTCATCAAACCCAGAACGATTAATGAAAGTTACACGCGTGAGCAAAACGCGCCCTTCTCGAACGGAAGCAAAAGAAAAACAACCAGAAACAATCGGTTCAAATATTTATTAAACTATCGATATACTTCCAAACGCACAGAGCAAAAACGTGTACACGCTAAGTGTATAGAAGGTAGGTTAGGGTTCGACACCTTTCAGCAGCAGTTGCGGAATGACACCGTAGATGCTGCGGTTGTTCGAAGTGACTGCTTGAACTGTACTGCTTCGATCTGAGTCATAACTACCTCCTACCAAAAACGAGCACTTCACATTCAACGCGCAAGTGCGAAGAATGAATGAAATGAAAAGACGGCGGTGGTAGTGGGGAAAAGGAAAATGGAAACATCGCGACGGGCGCCCGCAATCACCAACAAAATGAGGGGGTGGAGCCAGGAACCAACGGATTTAACCGTTCAATGAGTACCTTGCCAAACATATATTTCAAGATACATCGCATCTGCAGTTGGATGGTACACAACTGAGTCAAAATACGCAACAGCAGAGTAAAATATTTCCTTCGCAGCGATCAACAGAGTCAAAACAGTTACGGTCAATGATAATCATGTTCAGTAAAATTGCACCAAAGACAAATAATATTAAAATAATACACAGCATTATGCAACACAATCGTCAACTTTCGCTGATAATACATATCATGATTTCAGTGGCAGGGATGGACGGCTAAAATGACCATGACCATTAATATTACCATCGTTATTACGACCATTACGTCATCATGTTCATCAACTAGAGACATCGGCAAAGCCGCAATTAACTCTGCAACGAAAACAGACACAAGTACAAACCGGTTAACGATGCACATTTGTAAAGGAAAACACTGACAACGGCAAACTAGCGAACTTCCGCAAAAGGTGTAAAATCAGCTTTATAAATGTTCGCGTTCATCTACCAGCTGATTAACAGACGTGTACAACAGAGGAACATAACCAATATAGCGTGCCTGTTGTTCGTACAGATTTCTTGAAAATGACGCTGACGTTCGCTTGACGCTGGACAATGTCATTACATTTGATCGTCGTCATGACCGTAACTGACAAACGCAAGAGCAAGTGCGAGAGCGATGGTCATAGCGCCATCGGACTGTAGCCGTCCCAACTCAGGTGTGAATGTGGTGGCATCTGGCCCTGTTCGTTCAAAGGCGTCGTTGGTGCTCCGCTGCCGTTCATCATCTTCCAATCATAGTTTTGCGCTGGATTAGGGGTTCGCACGCCCTGCTGCTGATCCCAAGCATCGATCAGGGCGCTGTGCATCAACGACTGCAACGGGAACGAGTGATGAGGGATGAACGGCATACCGACACCACCTCGATGAAGAGGAGGCGGCTGCAAACATTCCGGCGGGGGGCCAGGAGCGCTTGCAGCGAACTGCGCAGGGGTCATGAAACCCATGTGCTGAGGAGTGATCATATGGCCGCCAGAAGGGACAAACGACCCGGTCGTTGACGACTGCGGATTCATTACAGACGCTAGCATGACCGCTTGCTGAAACACGTCCGGCTCGAACTTGCTCGATCCGCTGCCCATCATTTCGAATTCAGCTGCGGCATGGGCCGCAGCGATTCCATGGCTTATGGCGGCAGACTGTAGGTGTGCCAGATCTGCCGACAGACCACTAAGGCTAGTTGACCAATCGTTCTTCTCTATGTCTAAAAAAACTCACTG